ATCGGCCTGCGCCGCGCGCGGGGCGTCAGACGACGACGACGACGACTGGCCTGCGCCCATGGTGGTCAACGGCGATCCGTAAAAGGGAGGGGCAGCACCGTGCAGCGGCTGGGACGCGCTGCGCAAAAAACCGCGCCGAGTTTCGGTCCGATGGTGTTTGTGGGCAGAAAGTTCACGGTGCGTTTGCCGAGCCATGATTGGCCGCCGGTCGAGGCCGCCGCAGTGAACGCATCGTGACTCCGCAAATCCTGGCGGAACGCCCCATCTGTCGCAATCCACACTTGCTAGCCTGCGTGACCGCTGAATACAAAGACGGGGAAAATGTCTTTGTTTTTCGCATACCAACTGATGTTCACTCGATTTCACTTATGCGCATCTGGCCAAGAGCACTCCCCCAACGTTAGACTGGTACCTGGCTCCCGGTGCCTTCCATCTACGATCGACGTCACTGTACCGCCGCTTGGCCTGAGCCGCCACCCAATCCTCAGCCGATCTCCTCCCACGTGCAGAATTTGCGCTTCTCACAGGCCACTACCAACATGAAGTTCGGGCACGTTTTGAAAGAGCGCCTCAAGAACGAAGGCTTCCCGCCCGAATGGGTGGACTCGGCCATTTCGTATTCACAACTCAAAAAGTGCATCCACAGGTTGACTGACGAGCTTGCCCAAGTCGGCCTCGACCCGGCCACACTGGGGAAGCTGCTCCGACATGTCGAGGACTACAACGCCGCTACCGCCGGCGACAATGAGGAACGACCATTTGAATATATCTTATCTGGAGATCCACCACCAGAGTCACAGGACCAAGGAGACACGGGCACATCTAGGACTCCCAGAAAACAGTTCCACCCGAAGCTGGTCTTCAAAGTCAATGAGGCCACCGGCGCTCTACACAGCGCCAAGCTGGACGAGGAAACAAAATCAAAACTGCATATGCTCGCCCTGGAGACAGGCTTGTCGACCTTGAGAGTGTTTGATGATCAAGACTCGTCGTCCATCACATCCGGGGATTCTGCCACCACCGTCAACGGTCCTTATGCAGCCGCTGATGTTGAGAAACCTGCTGGAAAACCAACTTACCGGAGGGTCGAGGTGCCCCTGACATCCGACACTGAGTTCTTCTCCACTCTCAGCAGCCAACTGTCTGGCTTGGAGAAACTGCAAGAGAGGGAGCAAGAGCGGCTACATGGCCAGATTGAAGAGCTTGGAAAGCAAATTGCCAAATTGACGGACCCAGGCCGCAAATCAAACAAGAAGTTGGTAGGAGTTTGGCGTCAGATTTTTCAGCTCTACGTCGAAAGTGGCATTTTCTTCGGTACCACAGAAGTCGACCACACCGCCCACGATGCAGAGAAAGCTGCCGAAAAGTTCCAGACCTTCGCGGATACCCTCGTGGAAAAGGGTCTGGTGACGCAATTCAAGAAGCCAGAAAATCTCGAAGCGCTCAACACCTTCCTGCGGATTAATCGGGAGATCCTACAGGGCCTGCGATTTGGAGAGATAAATCGGACGGCCATGATGAAGATTTTGAAAAGTATACCCATCCCCTTGGCAACTAGTTAATGATATCTTGCTTACATAATCACAGAGTTCGACAAGAAGACGGCGCTTGGGGTCAAGGCAACTGTCCCGAAGCAGATTCAATATCCCGAGTTCTCTGAGCACCTGGCGAAAGCCGTCTGCGCGGAGGTCAACAACCAGATATTGAGCCATGTACCCCAGCTGGATGACTATACATGCCCCATGTGTATGGACATCGAATGGCGGCCGGTGAAGCTCCGCTGCGGACATGTTTTCTGCATCAGGTGCCTGATTGTGATGCAAACCAGAGAACAACATCGCTGTCCGCTATGCAGAGAGAAGACTGTTGTAGATGCAAATTCTGGTAGGTGCCATCTTCCCAAAAGACGTACCCCTGGGTGCTAACATCATACAGACAATCTTGACTTGGAACTAGCAGACTTTCTGAAGAAGTGGTTCCCAGATGAAGTCAAGGCGAAGCAGAAGTACAACGAGCTGATGGCGGGAGTCGACCAGTATGGGGAAGTGTACAAAGAGAAGTGCACTGTAATGTGACTATTTTGAGAGTCCAAATTTTGTGTTATTGGGTCACAGCACCCGGCGCCAGCCAATCCATTCGTGGCTTGCCCACGCGCTCATCAGGAACAGCGCATTCTGTGTCGCCCCGCGACACAGTTAGAGGTACGCATTCTTTGAGATACCCATAGCCTTTCGGCCACAACCACCATCATGTCTTCATGTTTTAACGAATCTCACACTTCTAATAATACATCTACACGTTGCTATTGCTTAGCTTGCGGGGAACGTAAATACAGACTTGCAGTTCACTCACCTAAAATAAACAGTATCATGCCTAATAAAATTATCATTTCATTCGTCACAGCAGAGCCCTTCAAATCCACCTTCCCAACCTTTCTCACCTCCTCACCCGCTCAAATCCCTCCAGCATCCGCGTCTGCCTCTTGATCTTCTTCTTCGTCGACCGTCTCTTCAACACCAAAATGTACGTAACCACCGTAAGCAGCGCCGCGCCCACTTGAACCAGCCCCGCATACCAACTCACACTCTGCACACTACAAAACTTATCAAAATTCACCTCCTTCGCAAACTCGCGCTGGATCACCTGCGCAGCCTCACTACATGTCCACCCCCAGAGATCATTACTCTTCCCACCCGTATCCTTCTGCTGGCGATACAATCCCGCGGCCACACTCCACACCACCAGATTCCCGAGCATCGTGACCACAGTAAACCATGTCGTCACGGTCGCCGCTTTATTCGCCTTCTCGACGCCGCCGAATTTGTAGGAGAGCAGGATGGTGAGGTGGAGCAGGAGCGCCGTGGCCGCGACCCCGAAGTACATGTACGTCGGCCACACTTTGGAGTCCTTGGCCCAGGCCGTCCGCATCACGGTGGTGCCGTCTGGATGCTCGACTTCGCGGAATGTGGACTTTGTGGTGAGGAATTTGTGGAGTGTGAGGGTGATTGGGACGAAGACGGCGATGGAGATTAGGAAGGCGATGATTCGGGATAGGAGGCGGAGACGACGGATTCGGGCCTTGAGGTGCTGGGGAAAGTTGTGTTAGTGGTGATGGTGGGTTTAGAGAAAGGAAAAGGGGAAGTTACCCTGTCTTCGAGTTGCGCCTCTTTGATTGCGTCCATTTCTTCCTTGTTGGAGACGAGAGTGAGGGGTCGTAGGGGAGAAGATTGGCCGGAGTGAAATGGATACCCAGGAGAAGGAGCGCCAGTTGAGAAGTCGGGGGACAGGAGATGTTGTTCGGAGGAGTTGCGGGGTGGATGGCCGGGTGAGGGAGCCCCGGTTGAGAGACCTGGGGACAGGAGGTGTTGTTCCGCGGATGAGGTGCGGTAGTAGGAATCCGCAGCCATGGTATATTTGGTCTTTGCTTGTCGAGGTCTGGGGTTTATGTCGTGTCGTGTCGTGTCGTATTGAAGAAATAGTCTGCCTCAAAGGAGTCTGGGAAATGGAAAGGCAGATCGAGAGGAAATGAAGTGAAGATATGGCTGGTGATGACGACAGCAGCGGTTTGTAGATTTACACTGAAGAGAATGGAACGGAGGAAAGAAGTGGGAGGAGTACAGACTGCAGTGCGAGTACGCAGCACAGCGCGAGTCTACAACACGAGAATAAATTGAGAGCAACAAGATGCTAATAAGGCTCTTTGCTGATTTAGCAAAGACATAAAGGTGGCGCGCTCCCCTCCACCAAATATAAGAATCCGCAATGTGGGTTTCTCGAGCTGGAAGATGTGCATCCGGGATGCAGGGTAGGTGTGTAATATCCGTCAGTGCGTTCGTACGGGGCCTCCAAAAAGTTACCAAGCTTGCGGAAAGCTCAGGTTCACTCCAGGACTCAGCCCCTCTCCGAAGCCACCACCACCGATCTTCCCGAGTCCGACATCTTCAAAATCCCAATTTCCAGCGCGAATTCACCAATCAGCCTCCCCCTCCAGCCTAGCACTCCTGCATCGGGCCTAGAGGGAGAGTGAGCACTTGCAGCAGCCAGTTCAGCTGTCTTCACGCGTCTTTCCGTTTCGGGGTAGCGCGTGTGGCTGAGGCGATGCATCGGCCGAAGTCATTGGTCAGGAACGATGCTGGTGTGTTCAGCCGCGAGCTAGTGGTGCTTAGTGATGGGAACTATTTTTGGCGGGAAGGAGTGTTTTTGGGGAAGATGAGAAATGGAGAGAAGGGAAGAGTGTTAAAGAGAGGTGTGTATGGGGACGCGACGCGTTGCTGTCTCGGCGAGCGTGTTAGTGGTCGGTCAGAGTGTGTTTCGAAACGCGGTTCTAGAGGTGCTGATGCACTGCTGATGTCGCGATAAATTATGGATGAGGAACCGGAAAGATGCAAAATGAGATGGCGACTCAGAGGAAATTGAAGGACGTCGCGCAAGCCGATCTTTGATGCTCGCGATGTTGGTGGCGAGGGTTTGAAGTGGTGGAGAGCAGTGGCGTTGTTGTACCGAAGTGACATTCGTATGTCGTCCGGGGCGTTCAAATGATGGTTTTTGACCAGCTTTTCACCTATTTGACTCTGTGATCATCAACTTCGCGCTTTCTGAGTGGCAAGAGTGAGCAGCCAACTACTTCAACGCCATTGGTGGGCGATAGCTCAATAAAACTCTAGCAAATGTTATTTGAAGTCCCGTTCGCCTCAATATGTCTGTCCGTCGCCAAAGATCACCAATGCTATTGAGACCTCGCATGCTTGAATGCATCCATCTAGAATCTGTGTTCCATAGACAGGCCACATTCCACTAATCCCCCGTCCCCGCCAAACAATCCAAAGTCGGTCAAGGCTCCGCGTCGCAAACAGGTAGCGGGGTAATTGCCGAGACTGCCACGTCCCGAACATCTCTGCGAACTGGAGCACTCACCTCCTTTAGATTAGTAAAACTCTCGACTGTACCTCCAGTAGTCAAGTATATATAAAATCATTATTCAAAACTTTTATAATTCAATTGGCCGCATGGCGCAACGGTAGCGCGTCAGATTCCAGACTTGTGTGGAATGTCCTGAAGGCTCTCTGTTCGAATCAGGGTGTGGTCACTTCGTTTTTGTATCTTTTTTGTTGGCGCATGGACGGGGTTTCGCTGGTAGATGGGTGGGGTCAGCAGAGCTTGGAACCTCTTTTTACCGTGGCGCGAGAACGGGGTTAGCCCCGTTGAGTCATATTCGTTTGTAATTACTTGGAACGGAGATTCATTCAATACAAGATAATTATCTATTGAAAAAATATAATATGCTATAAGGCTTGCAATTATTTCGTTGCGATTTCAGGTTCTTCCACAACAATTGGACTTGTTTGGTAGCGAGAAGCATTGAAATGTACTTCAAGGACTGGACGGCAGGTTTATCCTCGTCGACAGCAAAATCGCTACGTTATCCCGTGCTCAGAGCCTACCGTCTTGCTTATGAATAGATAACCACTTGTACAAATTAATCTACGCGTTCGATGTTCCATCCAAAATTAGTGCTCAACTATCGTATTGGAATTCTCGCATGTGCGACTATCCCATTCTTGTCCCAAAACAGCGCTCAACCTTCGCAGAAATTAGGCTGATCCAACGACTTTCTCGTGAGCCCCAAAGCGGACCTACAACCCCTAGAATGTCGGTTTCAAGCTCCCAGTACAGTCATGGTGGAAATCAGATCAGATCAGGTCAATATATTCATTTACACAAGGCAAGAAGACCACGCTATTTACATGTCCGCTGCACAGCAACAAGACTTCTCTCAATGAGAGGATCGTGCAACTTTCTTCTAGCCCTCCATTCCCCTCTATCTTCAGGCTTCAACCCTTCAACGCCGGGCCTCCCTGTAGCGAATTCCTCATGCAGTGAAGCGCTTAGCAGTAGTCCCCTTCGTGCCCTTAGCAGCGGTGCCCTTCGCAGGACCACCGGTAGTCACAGCAGTTGTAGCAGTAGTGTTCCCTGCGGCCCCCGTGCTAGCCATTTGAAATGCAATAACGCCGCCGAACGGGCCTGCTCTGTTGGCTGTGCATGGAATCGTCAGTATACTATATCCTTCTTACACAGGACTCGGTCCTATAAGCCAAACTCACAGTTCGCAATCTTCATAAAGCAGACATTCTGCTGGCCAGCCACGGTTCCAGAGCACGTTGTGCCAGCGGGAACGGCGATCTTGACCGGGAAATCCATGTTGACGTTTGCGGCGCGCTTCATAAGCCCGAGAGCGTGGAGAGCGCGGGCGACTTTGCCGCTAGGCCGGATGTTGCCGTTGTTGCCTGGGACATCTGTGGGTGTGTTAGTTGGTGATGGAGGCGGTGGGGAGAGAGTGAGCGTACCGGTCATGACGGTTGCTTCAACGCCGTTGGAGAAGGCGCCCGAGGCGGTGGGATCGATCATTGCTTGGACTGGGCCCGCGCCGTCCTATGTAACCCCTGTCAGTTAACGATGCATCGAACTTGCCTTGTCTGAAAGAACAACTTACAGTCGTTACGATATGGAACACTCCCGAGATCGAACCCCCCTCGCTGACTTGCGGCAGTGTGGAACCCGACTGCGCCATTGTCGCGGCCAGATCGGCAGCCTTGTTCTGCCCTCCCGCATTTGTCCTTCCGAGACCATCGGTCGCGATGTTGGTCTTGCCGAAAACAGTCGTGTCGACTTCAGTGACCTTGTTTCTTCCGGGTCCGGGGACGATGCCCCCCATGATGCCAATTGCGGTGCCGTTGCCGCCCGCGTCACCGGTCACCATGGCGACCTTTCCGTGGGCGGCGACAAGGGGAGAAGCTGCCAGAGCGCTGATGAGGATGGAGGTGGAGAAATGCATTCTGAATAAATGGGAGAGAACTTGAAGGGGAAGAAGAAGTTCTGGATAAACTTTAAGATGGAAGAGAAGGTGTTGGGTTGCGTCGAGTCAATCGCGCTGTTGAAGAGAGAAGAGAAGAGTAAAGATGGAAGGAGAAATGAAGGGCTGACAGATGTTGCTTGATGATGAGAGAAAGAAGAGGATATTTGCACGGCAGTCGCCCTCATCTTTATACAAATGTCCACCCCCCAAACCCTCTCAGCCAGCCGACCTTGCCGTAAGTCTACAATATCAAACATCAACCACAGGTCGTGATACCATCTCCACCATCACAAGCTAAGTTCTGAGGTTTCATGCCCAAGGCGATGCGGCCAAGTGTGGCGGCTAGGCTCGACTTGCTCCTTCGCAACGCTTGTCAATGCCTGAGAGCTCTTGCATTCGCTAGGTGTGGGACTGTTTCGCCATGGCCCCATCGCCGAGACGCGGCGAACACCCAAGCTTTGACAAGCTTCGGGCGCACCAGCGTCGACTTGCCCGATTTTGACGTTTGGGGAAACCCACATGCATTGCCGTTATGCGCGGAGGGAGGGGCTGCGTGAAACGATCTTGTTCCATATTTGCCTGATGAGAGAGATAAAGATAGGTATCGTGGGTTTAGATTCTTCATTCGCTGAGAGGGAGAAAGATGGTGATGGACATGCGCGGAATCGACATGTCGATGCCCTCGCCATGACTATCTAATTTGTCCCGAGATCAAACACCCACGTCCAGCCTGCCAGTATCCCTAATCCGGCTAGACAAACGCACTAGCGTCTCGATCCAAAACCTCAACTCCAAGTCGCTTCGAATTGAAGCACTTATCGCCTTGCTCCATCCCAAAACGACCGGTTTTCACAGACGCATTTCTGATCCACTCAAGCTTGCCAAGGTCCGCGCTGCTGAACATCGAGAAACCTAACCAGGAGTTTTTTATCCCCGCACACGCGCGAAGTGAAACAGGCGAAACGCCGACTTTCGCAATGACCTAGGCAGCCTGGGCAGCTTGAGACTTTATGAACAACACTCGTAAATCATCGCCACATGGATTTTTGTTTTGAGATTCTCACGATAAGTCGATCACGATAGGGGGCTGTGCAATGGGTGGATGAGTGGGTGGGTTTGAGAACCATAGAACGCCTGTACATTACATTGGTCGCACGGCGTTTCGGCGTTGTGCTGAATATCGCGACAGGGACACAAAACACAGAGATGCCAAACGGACGTACATAAAACGTTGAAGGTGATCACGAGAGAGTGAAAGGCTGCCTCGGTTGCTATCATGTTAGACTTTAGTCTCTGTCTTCAGATCGTTGCCAGGATGGGTACGTACAAGGGACTATGCAGTTGGTGTTAAAGTCTTGAGACAGCGCCGTCTAATTTTTCGTCTACTCCTTCCTTGCCGCCTTGCGCGATATTGTGTGACAGCTACTGACAAGCAGCGTACCCCGATCTTTTTGTTTCGAAGCACATCCATGTCAACCTCGCTCGTTGTAGGCCGCAGAAGCAATGCTCGCACCACCGACCAAAAATTCAACAGGCCCGAATAATTTGTTTCATCAATGAATTCCTCACACCTCTACATATCGCCACTTCGAACGCCTCTCCTCGGGCGTCGAGTCCCGTCCGGACGCGCGGTGTTGTCCGTCCGCAGAGCTGAATCAACTGCCGACTACGAGGTGTGTAGGCGATCGACAGTCCATATGACCACCGTCTCAGTTACTAGCATGGTATAATGGAAAGCAGGGGCCGTGTGGCTTACCGTTTACGAATTTCCTGGCCCCTTGTTGCTACTACCAACTTCTGTGCAACCTCTACCTCAACAAACTATGTCCATGCCCAACACCATCTTGACACCTCTACAAATCAGGTTCAGCATCAATCAAATTTTCTCTCGCTAATGGACTTAGACTCTCTTGCAGGCTAGATCCCACTTCTGCCGTATCATGGAAGCTCCTCTTGCGCAAGCCGTTGATCCTCCCTTTTATCAGCCTTTGTCCGCGCTCGGCCATAAAAGGACCCATTTTTCAAAAACAAAGATATTGTAGCAGTGCACAACACAAGTGTCGAGGACCGAAAGCCACATATCATATTAGCAGCGAATATCTTGAACTGTACGAATTCATACTTCAGATTCCCTAAGAGTGGAATTACGGGAGCTTAAGTATCTATTGAGCGTTGCATCACGATAATAAATGCAAGCTCGTTTGTGACGTTACTTCTGGGTTTGTAGACGGTAATGCATTCAAGGTAATTATAACTGTAGATACTAACATAGAATAATAGAAGACAGAGGCTATAAGGCTTATAATCTAACAAATGTTATCAGCTTACTGTAGACGCAGGATTGTCCAAATGTTATTGCATCTTAAAATAGACAACAGCAATAATCATATTGCGTCTCGCAATTGAGAGTTTCAAGTCAAACGTCGCCCAAAAATTCATCCTTAGTCTTGTCCAACCAACCATATCTACCTAGGGCTTGGATCACGTATATCAAACGAGGTTGTCGCCATACGGGCTGTGCTAGCCTTCCCACTGCGTTGAAGATCAAACCGCGCACCTCCAGATCTACCTTACATATCGCTGACATCGGACGCCACAGGTTCTATCTACTAGACTTAATATTAGCGAGCATCGCAACTGTCCTTTCCTCACACCATGCCACTTCTGAAGATCAACCACAATGGCAACTTCAGCCTGACCAGGTTTGGACCAAACAACATCCCTCCTTACGCCATTCTCTCGCACACTTGGGAAGCTGATGAGCAGGAACTCACATTCGAGGAAATGATGACCGGAACCGGTCTCAATAAAGCTGGCGTGGCTGGCTATCGAAAGATCCAGTTTTGCGGAGATCAAGCAAATAAAGACGGTCTGGAGTACTTCTGGGTCGACAGCTGTTGCATCGACAAGACGTCAAGCGCAGAATTATCGGAATCGCTTAATTCTATGTTCCGTTCGTATTCCGAGGCCACGACCTGTTACGTTTATCTATCGGGCTCGTCATCTTTCGATGCGTCACATGACGTAGAGCCGCAGCTTCGCGGGCTGAGATGGTTTCAGAGAAGCTGGACACTTCAAGAGCTCATTGCACCAAAGAAAGCGGTGTTATTCACGGCGACTTGGAAGGCCATTGGGACCAAAAGATCACTATCTAGCCCTCTATCATCAGTCACAGGAATCCCTTCCCGAGTCCTACTGCTCCACAAAGCAAGTAGCGCCCAAAAGATGTCCTG